AACAGCGCTTGGAAATGGGCGTTGGGCGGGCGGGCGGGTGGGCAAAATCCAGCTTGTAGTGGCTGGTGACAAAGAAGATACACACCCTCCCCTCCCCTTCTCCCCTTCCCTTTACATCCCTCCCCTCCCCTCCCTCCCTCCCCTCTCTACCCAACCCCCCCCCTCAACTTTCTCCCCTTGCACCCCCCCTCCCCCCTCCCCCCTTATCCAGGACCCACGAACCACGCACAGCCAAACCCTCGGGTCGGTTACACTGGTACAATAGAAACACGGCCGCCGGGACAAAGAGCGTAGCCAACACTCTCTGCGGATTGGCCGGAATCTTCACACTATTAAAATTCTTAACGACTCTTGCTCACATATATTTATAACGCCCCCTTCTCTTCCCTTTTCCCTTCCCCTCCTCCCCTTCCCTCCCTCCCTCCCTCCCCCGTTGCCCACGCCTCCGCCACCAAGCCAACATATGCCTACGTAGCGGGCGGGACATCAAGTCTCGCTATCTGTCATACATCAGCGCTCGATTAGATCTAAACTATGTTTCTAAGGGCGTTCCTCGTTGCAATAATAGACCCATCACAAAAATTTAATAAAGGAAACGGGGGACCGTGTTCGCGCACGGAGGGAGAAAAAATTGAGTCCGTTTCCCCCGCCGCCCGGGCCGTAGGGTTCCTTTTCCGCCCGAGCGCCGCGTGACGATGGGCTCTATTGGTCGACGCGCAGCCCAGGCTCCGCCCACCGCTCCGCGTAAGCCCCGCCCCCGTCCTCTCTCCCCCGCGTCCACAGCCGTCCATCGCCAACAAAGCCTTGCAGCAGTTTTCTGGCTAGTTTGTTGAGGACTGGCTTAGGTGGACAAGCAAATATAAGAGCTTTAGTGTTCCTGTTTTTTGTTTTACTTTTTTACCGCGTGAATGGCATCCATGCCTTACAAAGACACTTGCAATATCAGTGTCCAGGAAATGGTAAGTATTGCAGCCCAGTTGCCGCCATTCTTGCCGATTCGTGCTCGCTTTTTGGCTTCAGTGACCAGAGCCTATAAAAAAAGTGATAATTATTTTCTTTCCATTATTGATTGAGGGGGATATAAGGTGAAAATAAACAGCTCATTAAATCTTTTTAATTACAACGTGATGTTTCCTCCCGAGCAGAAGCAGCAGGAGGGGTCGGCGAGCAGCAGGGTGAGGAGCTTTTCCGTCCGGGACCTGCTTCAGCTCCCCGACAACCCGGACAAAGGTACGACACAGCGCTACTTGTGTTTCTCGTAGATCCTGCAGCAGCGCCTCCCTCCACACTTTGCTGGTGGCGAGCACTCGTAGATGGAGATGGCGCTCTGGTGTTTGCCTTTTTGCGCTCTGAGCTCGCTTTCACTTTTTCCTTTTTTCTTTTTTTTTCTTTTGAAGCCGTGTATCTGCTCGTCATCATGAGAGTGACAGTTTGGTTCGTGATTAATTATGTTGATCGATAACGTCTCACTTGGGGATGAGTTGCGTGACGCCAGTGTTTTCTCTCGACAGTGAGCGACCTGCAGCAGACTCTGGTGGACGACGGGGGCGGCGTCCTGGCCTCCTCCGAGAAGGTCCTGCCGCACCTCGACGACTGCAACCCCATCCAGGCGGCGGCGGACTCGACCGAGAACACGAATGTCGTCGAGGACGAGCCCGAGGAGGACATGGAGGGCGTGGAGGTATCCGACGAGCCCGAGGACGGCCAGGAGCACCACGGCCGCAAGAGGAAGCGCCGCATCCTGTTCACCAAGTCCCAGACCTACGAGCTGGAGCGGCGCTTCCGCCAGCAGCGATACCTGTCGGCGCCGGAGCGGGAGCACTTGGCCTCGCTCATCAACCTCACACCGACGCAGGTAAAAATATGGTTCCAGAACCATCGCTACAAAACCAAGAAACTCTACCGCGAGAAAGGCCTCCCCTCCACGCTGGAGAACCCCTACGTGCCGACGTCGAACCCCCTGGGCTCGCTGCCGAGTGCGCTGCGCCGCCTGACGGTGCCCCTCCTGGTGCGCGAGAGGCTGTCGTCGGTGACCAGCAGCAGCGGCCGGACAGACGCCCTGCCCCACGAGACGTCGAGCTCCCTGCTGGAGCCCCGACTGCCGCCGCCCCTGCACATGGCGCCGTCGGTAGCCTTCCCGGGGCTATTTTCTGGTCTGTTCGGGGCATCCCAGGGCCTGCTCCCTCCGGCCCTGTCGCAGAACCCTCTCCCTCACGCCCTGGCAGCCTCCCTTACCTCCTCCCTGCTGCTGCCGTCCCACCCGCTCTTCTCGACGGCCTCCTCCCTGTCCACGCCGCTGTCCCTGTTCTCCACGCCCCCCGCCAGCTCCACCGGCGTCGCCCCCAGCATCGCCCCCGTCACCGTGCTGGAAGGGGGCAGTCGCTCGGCCTCGTCCTCGCCGGTGACGTCCCTCTCGCCGCCGCGGCCTCCCTCGCCCGTCACGAGTGCGTCCGCGGAGACCTCCGTCAGCGCCCCGGCACAGGTGGCCTCCCGCTGGTGA